CTTATTCCGCCGCCTGATATTTGCTTAGATATGCTCAAATGTGGAACATTCCCTTTAAAGTGAGCATCCCACCTTTTTGTACATTTCACGCATTGTGCGATCAGACGCCTTCGATTTGATCAGTAACACCAGCCGTCTCGAAACCCCTCATAATAGCTCAAAATTTCGATTTGAAGTAGCCGAGCCCGCAGGAGAAATCTCACTGACTCCCTGCTCACCACAGTGAAAGCACTACGAAAGCTTGAAACACCGTCGGGACAAAAATATATGCGAACATAAAGCTACTGTTCCGCGAATACAATGAAATTTAAACTAAGGCTTTGGTCTTTCCCCTATGGCGTTTACTAAAGTGGAAATTTTCGAGGCGTACCTTGGCTTTGGAAATGTGGTATCACATAATCCATGTGACGCACTGATTCAAGCTTCAACCAACACGCTCCTCAGTAACAGGCCTCTGCCCGCTAGGCCAATCACAAACGTTCCTTTATTGGCACCACTCTTACCATGCGGGGCCGGGTCCAGAGGTGGCAAGAAGGCGCCAGGCGCCATCAGTCAGCGCAGCACCACGCGGGGCCGAGTTCAGAGATGGCAAGAAGGCGCCACGCCAGACGCCGGCAGGGATCAAGTCCCGGCGCAATCGTGCGAGTTCTATCACAGATGCTGCTTTTGAGCACCAAAGTATGTCCGAATACCAAACCCTCGTTAGGAATGCGCGGAAGCTGGATAGGGCATCAAATCGACATTCCTAGAGCTATTCACTAGCCCTTTCAAAGGGTTGAAGTGGAAGAGCATAGTATAGTAGGTGGTGGAGTAGTCTGTGTTCGATGAAATATCGTAGACTTACAGAGGATCTGATAGAGGTATTTAGGATTACGGAACGGTTAGACAAAGTGGAGCTACAAGGAACACTGGAAATTAGGCCGAGACTTAGAAAAAATCAGCTCCAATTAGCAAAGGGTCAGTCTTGCCGGCCTTTGTGGCTTTTTGTATGCCTGATGCATTGTTTCCCTCTATGTCTTTATATAGACCTCATTTGCACACACTGGCGCCGCGCTGTGGTCGGTACAGAAACTAGTAATTGGAACTGTGTCCTGGAGGTTTCGTGGCAGGCAGATGGTCGTGTTGACGTTTGGCAGCGTGGAGCGAAAATACCATCCAAGGTCACAGGCTCGAGTAGCACAAGTGCGTCGCAACACCCCACGTCCAACGATAATGGCGGCTCGATTGCGTCACGTGCCGGGCGCCATCGACCCGGCCGCTCGTGGCTCGACCGACCGTTCCGAGGAAGAATGCGACGGAATGCGCAATTAAACCGAAATCGGCCGCTGCTCGAAATGCGCCCTATCAGGCTTCGAAAAAAGATATCTGAGCTTAAGACAGACTTCATACAGCTTCTCAGGACGAGCCGCGTCGAAAAATAGCGCACTGCTGACACAGCGTTTAAATAGCAGTGCATCGATGACCGGCTAGACCGTTCAGTGTTGGGCATTTGCATGCGCAGTTTGCCAGTTTTTTTTTAACCCACCACGCCGCTGACGATAACTGAAATCGAGAGTACAACAGCCAAAACACCCGAACACATCTTAAGCCGATGCGCACTTGTTCCATCCGTTGGTGCACAAAGAACATCGTAAACTGACGAACGCGGCTCGCGCAACGAGGCGCGTGCGAAGCTGTGCAAGCATCAGCGTGACGACTCAAACCCTGCCGCCCGCCCACCTGCCAGTCTCATCAGTCAGGTGAGCTACTGCAGAGGTGGCTGCCAGCCATGCGCCTGGCTCTCAGAGCTGGTTCCTGGTCCCCTGAACTGCTCCGTCACGAAGACCAGACGCTGGGTCTCGCTTGCCACTGGTTCTTTCGTAAACGCCAGATACTATTTCCTGGGTTCCATTAAACATCACGCCCTGGTTCCTGGTTCCCACTTATTCCACACTTATTCCTTCGTGAGGACTATGGTCAGGTTCCTGGTTCCCACTTATTCCTTCGCGAGGACTAGGGCCTGGTTCCTGGTTCCCACTGATTCCTTGCCCACACCAGACCCCCGCTGCTGGCTCCTATTAGCTTTCTTACATAACACCACATCCTAATTCCTGTTCTCGCTGGTTTCCTCAATCCAACTGGATCTTAGTTCATGCAACGTCCCCAGCATCACTGCAGGCCACACATCGTTCTTGCTGGATCTCTCGGGTTCATGCCAGGCTGGATCCTGGTTCTTACTGGCTCCGTTAACATGACCAAGTACCGGATCCTGGTTCTGGCTGGGTATGCGACTTGCTTCAATACCGGTCGTTGTCTTCTTCCGGGTTTTAAACCCAGCAACCAAATGGCGAGAAGTAAGATTGGGAGCCCGCCACATGTCTCAGTGGCCGTATGTTTGTTTAGCAAGGCCTGCAGCGTCAACACACGGTCCCGAAGCCTTTTGCGACCCAAGAATAACGTGTTTTGAAGCAGTTTATCTGTAAGCCAGCCACGCGGAGTAAGCGGCGGGCACGTCACACTTTTTCTTCGACGCGAAAGAGGCTACCTCGCACCCAGACTTACGCAAGAGCAATCGCTACAGACGGAGTTTTCCGTCTCCACGGCCAGGCAGTGACATCTGGAATGCAGGCTTGATCCGGCGCTGGAAGCGCCGTCCGGTAGCGTCAACAAGCCGCCAGAACCGCCGTCAAACCACAGCCGGTGCCCTAATGCCCCGCTCCCGTCAGCTCGGACATGCCGACCAGCGACTCGGATCGCCCGGACCCCTTACATAAACGCGGCCGAGTCCCAGTCCAGCTGTTCAATAAACACACGTCCAACGCGGGCTGACGGCATGATCTTGGATCGGAGGAAAACACACAGGAGACGGAGCACAAACACTTCTCGCAGCTCGACAAGCAGTTCCCGCAAAACATACAATCACGTGCGATCAACTCTGCATAACACATCAAGGTTAACCTCTTCCAAATCAGCGCAGATCCGACACTGCCCGCTCGCGTCTTTCACGCCTCACATCAGACGTCGTGTATTCGGACAGATTATGCGGATACGAGTGAATGGATGGCGAATGGATGGGGTGGGACATTCCAGCGTACGACGGCGGCAGGACGGCGGTATGCTTCGTCAGCATGCTCTTGTGACAACCGCCCGTGCTCGACGCCAAAATCCTGTTGGATGATCTCATACGTCTCGGAATCCCGTTTCTGATAGTGCAATTCGCCGTGTCGGGAATGATGCCAAGGTGACGCCGACACTGTCTAGATGGCAGGTGGCCAAGCTTCAGTCCGAGGTGATTAGGTTTTCAATCAAATGTCAGGTTCCACAATTTTATGAGTTTTTCATTCCCTGCGGTTCAAAATTATGCCGTTTTTAAGCCTCCAAATCCCCCCGTTTCTCAGCCAGACACACACAAACTTGCACAGCCCATTTCGCGCCGCCTTCCTTGAAGTCATTCAGAAATTAATGACGTCTATGACGTCACACATCCTGTCAGACGAATTGCACCTTCTCAGTGGCCATTAAGGAAGAGGCCCTGGCTCGTGTGTTCAAGGTCATGAAAACAATGACCGCTGACTTATTCGTATTTGGAGTGCTTCAACACGGATCGCCTTGTCAACATACAGCAGATAGCTAGCGACCAGCCAAACACATCAAACGAAGTTCTCGATCATTGATCACGTTTTGAGATACATAATACAGGAATTTCGGTACCTTTTTTCCTACGGGTTATGGCAGAGATGAGACTGGGAATCGATTAACTTAAGAATAGAGCCGCCAACGAGAATGCGAATGCAAGTGCCATACCATAAAATCACGAAGAAAGATACAAAAACGACAGGGGAAAACGCCGAGACAGGTGCACATGACGACCGTGAGGTTTAGCATGCGCGCACATATTAACAAGCCATTTTGCGGCAAGTTGAAAAATTTCAAGCATGTCGACACGTTCGCTACAGTGGTGATTCTGACACAGCCAGTCTGACAGCGACTCTGCCGTCATAAAAAACGCTTCATGATAAAATCAAACGATGAGGTATTGAGGAGAATATTAACTAAGCAGTGAAATTTTATCTAAAGCAGGCCTTGCACTTAAAAGCATACATTAGCTACATGTGAGCTTTTACCATCGCATATGATGCCCGCCTCAATATCTGTGAATAATTCTCTTTAAATATTAGTTGGTAACTTTCCACAGAAGCCCGTTTCGAAATCTATCCACGATACATCTACCAATGTACAAGCTCGTGATAGTTATACTGGGGATGGGTAGGTGAGGGTGAGGTGTGCAAGTACACGCAGCGTGCGAACACCCCTGGTACGAGGACTTCGTTCACTCCTGACGCGCATGCAGCCTCACACTGCGATCGTCAGGGCTTCCCCGCTGTGTCATCGCTCTCCGAGCTGCAGCTCAGACCGTGTCACCGCTCTCCGAGCTGCAGCTCAGACTGTGTCACCGCTCTCCGAGCTGCAGCTCAGGCTGTGTCACCGCTCTCCGAGCTGCAGCTCAGGCTGTGTCACCGCTCTCCGAGCTGCAGCTCAGGCTGCGTCACCGCCCTCCGGGCCACAGCTTAGGCTGTGTCACCGCCCTCCTGGCCGCAGCTCAGGCTGTGTCACCGCTCTCCGAGCTGCAGCTCAGGCTGTGTCACCGATCTCCGAGCTGCAGCTCAGTGTGTATCACCGCCCTCCTAGTCGCAGCTCAGGCTGTTTCACCGCTCTCCGGGCCGCAACTCAGGCTCTGTCACCGCCCTCCGGGCTGCAGCTCAGGCTGTGTCACCGCTCTCTGGGCCGCAGCTCAGACTGTGTCACCGATCTCTGGGCCGCAGCTCAGACTGCGTCACCGCTCTCTGGGCCGCAGCTCAGACTGTGTCACCGACCTCTGGGTCGCAGCTCAGGCCGTGTCACCTATCTCTGGGCCGCACCTCAGACTGTATCACCGATCTCTGGGCCGCAGCTCAGGCTGCGTGGCCGCTCCTCGGGCCGCAGCTCACGCGGGTCCGACGTCGGCCGATTCCCGGACTCACCTTCAGCGGCCGGACAATGGTCACCGTCTCGATGGTCTGCGTCGGCGCCATCTTCCCATCGGCCGGCAGGTGGCTGGCGCTGCAACATCACGGCACTGGTCACTGGACCGAGCGGGACTCTCGCGAGGACACGGCGGGTCATGGGAGACAGCGGGTCTTTCAGGGAGGAGCGGGCACCGCCGACAGGTCTTGACACCGTCAGTGAGCAGCTGGCGACTGGACGATGGTAACGTGGGTGACGCTTCAAACCAACTCAACACGCAAAATAGAGTACGCAAGTCTCATCGCGCATGTGCTAAAGCGGAAGCTGCACCAGCCTAGTTGAAAGTCTTCTAGATGTATGTGGTCGTTCTAAGAAGCTAACACATTATTAAGGTGTCTATCACTTGCAACTGATGACACTGGCCTGGTCATTAGCACCGGCATTAATGCCTCATGTTAATCGCAATGGCATAAACAAAAACACGGTTGGTAGTGAGCATCAAATCTAGTACGTGTTGATGGCTTAAGATTGCCTGTGTGAAGTGAGTTTCTGATATCCCGACATCTGAACCAGGCCATTTCTATAGTAATGTAGGTGAAGAGTCGACGTCCCGAATGCTCGCATTGGCGATGCGTAATTTTCTCCAGCGTGGAAAAATACCCGAATATGTTGGCCGTAGACTGGATTAGCCACTGACAAGTCATACAGGAGGCAGCTCGATGCACACAATCATGCGCGCGGCGTGATACCGTATACTTGGGTAGGGGATGGGGGGGGGGGACTGACCCGTACCCGAGCGTGTGGCATTCAACCTGCCACCCGGGCGCGCCTGAAAGTGCCGCGTGACCGGAAACACTGTGTCATGATTGAATATTAAAGGGAGTGTCTCGCATTTGTATGGGGTTTTGTACTGAAATAGCTATCTTAAAGGTCATTCGATGCAGTTTACAGACCTGCCGTTCTTAAGACCTAAGCCCGCTAGTTTCTGAGCTACAGGCCCGCGAAAATGAGTACACTATTTCAGGGGATCCATTTCAAGGTGACTCAGGCATCCATGACACCATAAAAACGTCATTCAAATCCTGCCATTGTATTAGCCATGCCGCGATTAAGGCCAAGAAAAATATAATTGTCCAGTCGTTCATCTCTGGCGTTTCGGAGCATGATTTCCAGACATAACTGCCGTCAATTGACTCTCAAAATAATGGTGCAATGCGCGATGACGTAATCAAACAATGCCATATTGAGGAGCATATTTACCAAACAGAGAAATTGCATGGTCTGGAGCAGTCTTTTCCACTTAAAGGCATACCAGTTGTCATCATTTCCTCCAAGGAATACTGCGCTCCGCATTTCCTGGCATTTACAACCAGTCAAGGATTTCAATTTTCTATCTGTAACACACTGTTCAGGAAAACCGTCTGTCAAACTGGACGGACTCAATGGTTCTGGCACACGGCTATTCCCGCCGTTTAATATAATGACGTAAACCTGCGACGTCTGGGGAGCGCCATCACGCACGACGCAATCATCGACGCCCTGCGTCCAGCCGCGTCACACAAACGTACGTGGCTGGGCCTAATTGTGGCTGGGCCTAATAAAGAGTCCCGCCCAGCTATGCGTCAATGTCGGGGCGATAGGAATCTCAATAAAGATACCGCGTAGCCGATAGTCCGGCCGCACTGGCGGACTGTAGCCGTGTGTTATATCTTCAGCCGCTGCCTCTCCGGGACGGTAGAGGTCCTCTGGATCCAGTAACACCAGCGGACCAAATGCCTCCTTTATCACATTTCACACTCTGCTCGTTCTGAATAACTTGCCCACGCCACCTACCGGGCACCGGCGGAACACAAGGCCAAGAACACCAATCACAACCACATTCCATCACCATTATGTAACGCGCAGCTCTTATTACAATCAACGTAATCCGCCCCTTATTGTTCCCATGGCCTGAAAAGACAGCTACATCCCCAGTACATGACGAAGAAACACGACATCGCGCTGTGAAGAAGCAAACGAGGTTTTCTTTCAGAACTGAGCTCGTTTCAGAAAGAGTCTGGTCGAGGTGGAAGACATTCATTGGAGGAAGCATTCTTCTAGATGTGGCTTCATCCGCAAGAAATGACGTCCAGACATAGATGGTGATGCCACCATGCAATTCCCACAGTCTCATCCAACATAAAGCCGTCCATGTCTGCGATGCTAAAACATAGAGCTGATTTAAAAGTGTTCATCATCGCATTACAAGATACAGGCAATGACATCATCCGTTCCGTACGTAGAGTACGCCTTCAGTCCTTAAACTGATCACGAAGTCAAATGATCCCCAATATAATACACCTTAGACAATCACCTCCATCAAGTACACATCTTTTTCGGCAAGTATTAAAATTCACTACGAAATTAATTTATTTCAGGTATTCCATAGGTTGTTATTGTTATTGTTGTTATTGTTATTGACATTGTATAGGTTATACATAGGTTATTGTTATTGTATAGGTTGCATTCCATGTCAGAAGAGCATGAATAATCTCTTTAAAAGAGGTGTTACACATTTGTATCAGGTTTTTAACATAAATGGTCATCTTGAAAATCATTCGACGCAGTTCACACCGCTGTACTTTTCAAGACCTAAACCTCTAGGTTCTGAGTTACACGCCCGCGAAGATGTGCAGACTTCCTCGCGCAGACTATTTCAAGGTCACCTTGGCATTCATGACATCATAATAACGTCATTTAAATTATGTTACTCCATAAGCCATGCGGTGATCAAGACCAAGAAAAATAAAATGATGGAGTCGTCTATATCTAGCGTTTGTGAGCACGATTTACAAACATAACGGCCGTCAATTGGCTTTCAAACAATATTGCGCTGGTTACGATGATGCAATCAAACAATGGTGTATTGTGAAACATATTCACTTAACATGGAAACTGCGTTGCCCAGAGCAGTCTTTTCCACTTAAAAGTAAGTCAATAGTTATGAGTGAGCTTGTTTCATCATATCTGCTGTCTGCTTCAATATCTTCAAATGTGAAGCATTCCCTTTAACGTTACGTGACACAGAACAAGCTACTTACATTCCTTAACTGTTGCATTGAACCAGTCTTAAGGAATAAGTGTACCTAAGACAATCCAGACAGGCCATTTCTAGCATACCAACAAAACGCATCAAAGCTGTTACCACGGACGTCGCGGCGGCAAATTCTGACTCGTTAACGAGCGTCACCCGCCAGTTCTGGAGCCAGGGAACTAAGCACAGAAATATGTGGTCTGCAGGACAGATAAGGGACGAAGCAGGCGTTTCACCTAACCGTCGGGTTCCTAGCGAAGGTCTTTCAATATCGAGAAACGCACTCACTCCTGGAATCGTTCCAAAAACAGACCAGTCAGGTAATCAAGACCAACCGGGTAATTGATCCGAAGATAACGGTGATGAAGGACAGAAATAGCCCGCACCTATCGGTGGCAGGCAGCGCACCTTTGCAGTCACAGTCGCGAGGAGGCCACGTTCGTCACAATCGCAGGGACGCCATTGCTCGTCGCAGGCTGCACTCGATCGAGAATGGCTCTCGAGGCAGGGGCTGAGACGTGCCTGCCATCCGTTGGACCCGGAGCTAGGCAATCGATACCAGGTGGCGGACACGTGGCCGGCTCTCAGTTTTAGTTCTGAGTTCCCACGCCTTTTGTTGACAAAACAAAACCCTGGATCCTGGTTCCCACTAGCTCTTTTGACAAAACAAAACCATCAGTCTCGTTCCTGGTTCTTATTGGTTCTTTCAAAAACACTGGGCTTTGCATGCTGGTTGTCTCAGATTTTTCATAAGTGCAATATCCTGACTCATGGTTCTCAGCCACAAAGTCATGCAAGCCACACGGGACAGCACATTTATTTTTACTTTCACCTTTATTTAAAGTCCAAGTAAAAAATCAGCACACTCTGGTACCACCAATGCAATGACAAAGATTAATTGCCATTTGTAGACCTATTCATATCTTATTTGCTACAGCTTAGAAGCAATTGCCTGAGAGCTGAAACTATCACATAGGATAATTCTTGCTTTCTCCTCTCACACCACATGAAAGTCACACACCACACGCAAGTCAAACAATATGTCCCTATGCCACCATTACGATCAAATATAGCGTTACCGTTAGTTGAAGATCACTGCTCACAGCTTAGAAGTGAGTGTCTGAGAGGTGAAACTATCACCTGGATGAGCAACACGTTTGCCATCAAAAATGGCTCAATTATGTGCTATCAAAAACAGTTCAAAGTCACAGACTCAAGACCAGTCAGTCAGCCTGTCACGATATCACCACTGCAACTAATGTAGCAATACTGTCAGCAGAAGATCATTGCCTAGCATCTACTAATGGGTAACTTGCAGTTGAAACCATGTGCTCACCATAAGTGCTCACCATTACGAGTGCTCACCATTGCAGGATAGTATGTCTGCCTGTCATGATATGATAGTCTGATATGATATGTCTGATATGTCTGATATGATAGTCTGTTATGATTGGAGCACTATTCTAAACAAACCACACAAGGCACTTGCAATATCTCACAAGATTTCAAGGCGATACATTACTGATAGAATTCAAACTACCCAGCCATCAGGGCCTCCCTAAAATACCGACAGAGTTGCAGCTGCCAGAGTCGCAACGGTTTTTCTGTGTAAAAACTTTTGTATTTTCCTCTGACAGAGGTGTGGCGAAGGGGGACGCCGGAAGGGGCTGAGACCCAAAGTTCGAAAAATTCAACATCGGCTATTGCAAGATAGGGCCAGTGTTCACCAAGTAAGGAATGAAATTAAATAGCAAACACAGATCCTGTGGCCAAAAACTGCGATTACTCCCATTGCCCCTGTTGTCTGATGCCAGCAAAAAGTGAATAGCTCTGTGCAATCTGTTCATGCTGTGTTCATGCCCTTCTTGTTTGTCAAACTTACAAATTCCTATCAAATGGTACCATTACTGCTGGTATCGAAACGAGATTTGACCAGAACCAACGGCCGTATAAAAGTGAGATGAATGAGATATAGGTCAGAAATCAGATACTGGCGCAGAGTGGCGTCCAGAGTGAGGGCCGG